CAGAAGCTCAAAAGAGGAATTCAATTTAATGCAAGCCTTTTAAAAAATAAATACTCCCTTTTAGAGTATGAAAAGTTAAGAATCCAAAGTATGAAGAGATGATAGTAAAGACAAACTAGGGGAAATTTAATTCAATTCATATTTAAGATTTCTGCTAATTCAGTTTAAAAGCTGAAATTGTTTATTGTTGCAAAACATGTGAGTGTGTATATACAATAAAACCTGCAAAAGCTGGAACCTGTGTAAGGTAGGAACCTGTCAGAGAAGGAAAAATTAAGTATTTTCCACTAATGGAGAGCTATAGAAAAATGGTTCAGATTGCACCTTGTCAAAGGCAGAAAACTTGTGAGACCCAGAAAAACAAGGCAGTCTGTGATGGTTATGTTTGTGTGTCAACTTGGTTGGGCCTGGTTGAGTGGCTGGGCAGCTGGATGTAGTTTTCCCCATGATGAGACTTGTAATCAACTCCACGGTGGAATCTACTGGGAGCAGCTGAGTAGCTGCCTTTGGGTATGTGGTCTGCTTCCTGTATATAAGGAGGAGCTTTGAGAATGGTCTCTAGCCTATGCCACGCTTGGGCCCTGCATGTAGCCGTGTCGTTGCTCAGCAGCCTGCTATGCTCTGCCGACCTTGAGACTTACAATGAACTTAAGTTAATGGCCTGCCGTGTGGATTGGTAACATCAGAACTGTGCCTTTTTACTTGTCAACCTTGGGGCTTCTCAGCCTCAGCAGCCAACAGCTGTCTGAGTGAAGAAATGCCTCTAGCTCCAGTGGGCTGGAGCAGGAGGGAGAGCGGGACCCCGAGGTTGAGGGGCTTTCACCCAGCCCCTAGAGCCTGGCACTTTGAACTTGGACTTAAAGTCTCCAAATTGTAAGAATAAACTCCTGTTTGTTAAAGCCATCCCATTTGTGGTATATTCTTGTCAGAGCGGCACTAGGTAACCAGAACACAGTCCTGTTGAGTTCTGGCTCTCAGCTTGTACTGTATATGTAAGTGTGTGTGTGTGTGTGTGTGTGTGTGTGTGTGTGTGTATCTATCATATCAAGGATAAGTAGTATTTGATAAGAGTGCTAAGTCGTCCATATATTTATGTAATAAGTGCACCCAAACCATTGAGTTATTTTTCTTCATCTCCCTTGCCTATGCCTTCCTTCATGTCATAGTAGTACGCCCATAAAGCAAGTTTATGTTTGTGAACTCTGAGGACCTTTGAACAGGAATGTTATTATTGTTGTTATATGCCGTCGAGTTGGACCCGACTCATAGCGGGACCCTCCTTGGGTTTCCGAGGCAGTATCACTACGGAAGTAGATTGCCTCATCTTCCTTCCTAGGAGTGGCTAACCAGCCAGCCTTAGGCACTACGCTACCAGAGCTCCACAGGAATAGTTGTTATAAATGCAGTATTTATAGTCATGATTTTGTTTACAAACTAATGTATTCCAGATGTAATGGCAATCAGAATTCAGTAAGCAAATTAACTTGCCAAGTCATGTTTGCATAGTAAACTAAAGACCATACACATTGAACTGAGAGAAACAAACCAAATGCAAACCAAACCTTTTGATAGAAGGGGGAGGAGGATTTCAAAGGAAGGGATAAGATGATGTGTACTTGAAGCCGGACGGAAGTGGGTTCCTGTCGGGTGCACTGTAAAGCCAAGAGACAGGACACACTAGGTTTTGACCAGAGCTCCTCAAGAGAAAGTAGTTTTATTTATAAGGTAAGGAGCTGGGAACTCTGGTAGCATAGTGCTAAGGCACTTGACTGCTAACCAGAAGGCTGGCAGTTCAAACCCACCGGCCACTCCTCGGAAGGAAGGTTGGACAATCTACTTCTGTGGTGATACTGCCTCGGAAACCCAAGGAGGGGTCACTATGAGTCGGGGGACCGACTCGACAGCACATAACAACAACAAGGTGAGGAGCCAAGGGGAATCTCTCTCAGATCTGAATCCCTTAGAGGGCGAGGAGTGGCTAGGTTCAGGCTTTTACGAGGCTGCAGGAAAGGGAAGTTAAACATAGAAAAATTCCAGGGATGATCGATCATGAATTGTTGGGGATTGGCTGATGTCTTGTTCGCCTTGGTTTAAAGGGACAGTTTTTAATGTAGTGTGCTTGTGTGCTGGATGGGTTACACCAGCTTCATTTCATCAGGTGATGGGGCTTAGGCAGAGAACAAGATGTTAATTCAGAGCAACATTGTTTCATTTCTCTCAATGTTCATCTGCAGGTCAAATGTGGTCTGAGCTGGTTACCACTCTGGCCTTGGTCTGCTGGACCAAGGTATCTATTTCCCTGTAAGATAAATTAACAAAGAGGCTAAGGAAGGGTCATGGGGGAGGTTAGATAGAAAACAGAAACCTTCTGTGGTGGTTGAGACTATTCCTCAGCTTGGGTAGATAAAAAACAGAAACAGCTTCATACTCAATAAATTTTTACTGATACTGCTGTGTGCCAAGCACTATTGTAAGTGTAGGGTGGTGATACAGAGCTGAAAGACAGATGGGCACAGTTTGTGCCCTCAAGGCACATGTATAGCTGTAATTGCAACAGATGTAATAAATGTTCTGTTGGAGCTGTGCATGGGATGATACATGAGTGGATGGAGGGGTGCCTGATCCAGCTTGAAAAAGTCAAGAATGACTTCCAAAAGAGATGACATATTAGCGGGCATCAAGGAGTTCCCAGGCAAATGAAGAGAAGAAAGCATTCCAGAGAAAACAGCAGTGGTGGTGATGTGAGAGAGTATTGGGGGAATTTGTCTGTAACAGTTTTGTTACTCAAGGTGTATGAGAGGTGTTGATGAAGTCTAAGGCCGAAAAACAAGGAGGGCCTTATTACCCATCCTGAGGCTGATGGGGGAGCAAGTGAAGAATTTTGACTTGATCTAGTTTGTATTTTTAACAAAAATAACCCTGGTAACAATGTAAAGAACATATTATTGAGGAAGGAGGAGCAGAAATAAGATTTAGGGTGAATAGTGATAAAGCTCATATTAAGACATAAGTACTGCAGGGGAGCTGAAGAGAAGCTGGGGTTTTCAAATAATGTTTTGGAAATAGACTTACAGGAGTTCAGTGATTGATTCCATATAGAAGTGGGTCAAGGAAAAAGAGTATAGGGTAATTCTCAGGTGTTTAACTAGAGAAATTAGGTATCTGGTGCCTTTTGCTGACATAGAATAGGAAGGCTAGATGAGGTGGGGACAAAGGCAGAGAGAAGTTTTGAGGAAGGTTGAGGGTGGGCCGATTGTGGGACTTCCACATGGGGGTGAGTGTAGGTCTTGAGATGGGAGTAGAGAGCTGTAATGACTAGTGAAGCCATAGCTAATCTAAACTAAGGAGATCTTGGCGAATGAGAAAAAATACCAGAGCCAGAGACAGAACCCTGAAGGCTACTACTGTTCTTTCTGGTAAAGCAGAGTCCATAAAGAGAATGAGGAAGTGAGCAGCTTGAGAAGTAGGAAGAAAATCAGCAGCAGTGTGACCCCTTGGAAGCCAAAGGAAGGGAGTTTAAAAAAGAGTAGGTATTTTTTAATTGCCTCCATTATTCTAGTTTTCTCATTTCTAAAAGTCATGTTGTAAAAGAAAAGTCAAGTTACTTTCTCAACTTTACATATGTGGAATCTACTTCTTCAAGATCTGACAGTGATTCTGATGTCCTAGCATAAGAAAATACCGATGATACCCAAGCTTACTGGGTTCCATTGACTTAAGGAATGAACTGAGTTTTCAGGTTCCAAAGAGTAAATGATACTTCCAGTATTATTGTAGAAGCTATTTTCTAGTTTGAGGATAAATGATTTATATATTAAATTTTAAAGATGGTGAAATAATTATTTTTCTGTGAAAGTCTCAAAGTGCTCTACAGATAACTCATAAAACCAAATAATGTGATACTTAAACTGGTATTGCATTTGCTCATTTGCATATAAACAAGCAGCATTGGGGTGGTTAGCACATAGCTGGTACACTACTGTTGTTGTTATGTGCTGTTGAGTTGGACCTGACTCATAGCAACCTCTCCTTGGGTTTCTGAGGCAGTATCGCTACAGAAGTAGATTGCCCCATTTTCCTTCTGAGGAGTGGCTGGTGGGTTTGAACCGCCAGCCTTCTGGTTGGCAGTCAAGTGCCTTAGGCACTATGCTACCAGAGCTCCTAGCTGGTGCACTAGGATAGCAAAATTGATCATGATAGAGGAGAGTGTGCATAAGACTTATTTCATCAGCAGCTGAAATAAGGTGTATCTATTACATGACTTTTTGCATTCAGTTTCCCTTGAGGTTCTCTAAAACCTTGTTATTCAAGGTGGTTCAAGAATCAGCAGCATCAGCATCACCTGGTAATTTGATAGACATACAGAATCTCTATTTTAATAATGTCATATTATTATATTCATATTAAAATTTGAGAAGCATCATTCTAAAGTATACATAGGTCTGAGAGTTTGTGATGTTCTGTGGTAACTGAGCCACCCACTTAACCATTTCATAGTTTTGAAGTGTAGGACAGCAAACATTTTCTTGTTAATATAATATTTTCTTTTCCCAAGGGAGTAGGCAGAGGTTAAAAGTGCCAATTCTGGAGTCAGATTGCTTGGGTTCAGATCTTGGCCTGGCCACTTATACTTTATTTCTCTAGTTATTGCTGGCAACTTTTATGAGCAAATACTGAGCTATAAATAATCCTTTATTATGTGTGTGTTGTTTTTTCATTCTTGTCATCAGTATTGCTTATTGGATTCATGAGTTTTGGCTGAACCATCAGTTACTGAAAAGCTGATGGAGTTTGAGAAATCTTTCAACTTTATCTAGTAAAGAAATGTTCTTAAAAATGAATCATAGGAGACTTTTCAGCTTTACTTTAAAAAAAAAAAAAACCCTACAAATAGATTTAAAAGTGATGGGAAGTCTCGTTAAATTAACTTACCGAGAAGTAGTAGGGTACTGGGGAATGCTTAGAGACTTTTGCCGATGGTCTGGTCTTGTTTTTTACAGGGAGCAGCAGGCATTTTGTGCTATGTGGGAGCCTATGTCTTCATCACTTATGATGATTACGACCACTTCTTTGAAGATGTGTACACTCTTATCCCTGCTGTAGTGATCATAGCTGTAGGAGCCCTGCTTTTCATTATTGGGCTGATTGGCTGCTGCGCCACAATCCGGGAAAGCCGCTGCGGACTTGCCACAGTAAGTTAGCATCTCACTGAGCTTGTGGGCATCATGAAATGTAGGAGTGTTTAATTTGTATCATGCTTTTCTTGAATTGACCATGAAATTCCTTAGACTCCTTGGCTCTTACAATACTTGACAGAATTAGCTGTTGTCTTAAACTCTAACCATCATCTCTGATAATTGTTTTTGTTTGTTTGTTTTTTAACCAAGAGAGCATTTAGAGCTATTTTTTCATTTGTACTTCTGTCAATATTTCCTTACAGTTTGTCATCATCCTACTCTTGGTTTTTGTCACAGAAGTCGTTGTGGTGGTTTTGGGATACGTTTACAGAGCAAAGGTATGTTGTCTGCTGAATTCACATAATGATTTAAAGGGTAGTTTAAATTTTGAGTAGATTAGATCATATTCATCTTTAGCAGAATAAACTTTTTCCTTATTTCAGTTTAAATATCATAGGAGCTCTGGTTACACAGTGGTTAAATGCTCAGCTGCTAATCAAGAGGTTGGTGGTTCAAATGCACTAGCTGCTCAGTGGGAGAAAGATGTGGCAGTTTGCTTCTATAAGGATTCCAAAAACCAAACCAAACTCACTGCCATCGAGTTGATTCCAACTCATAGCAACCCCTACTTGGGTTTCCGAGGCAGTATCTCTACGAAAGTAGATTGCCCAACCTTCCTTCTGAGGAGTGGCTGGTGAGTTTGAACTGCCAGCCTTCTGGTTAGCTGTCAGATGCCTTACGCACTATGCCACCAGAGCTCCCTCATGAAAATTACAGCCTTGGAAACCCTATGGGGCAGTTCTACTCTGTCCTACAGGGTCACTATAAGTCAGAATCAACCTGACGAGATTATTTGGTTTGTAAATACCACGGTGGCTTCGATGATGGGCTCGGGTGTAGCAGGGATCGTGGAGCTGGCGCAGGATTGGGCAGTGTTTCATTCTGCTGTGCGTGGGGTCACTATGAGTCGGAAACGACTCGACGGCACCTAACAACAACAAATATCTAATTAAAAATTACCTACGTATTAAGACTTCTGGTCTCATTTAATGTAGCAGTGTATTACTTCTACTACTGTTGACTCTAGGTATTTAATGTTCTTTAAATCATCTCAGTGAGTGACAAAAGAGTAATTTGTCAGTTGAGAAGTTTATTCAGATTTCCTCAGCCCGTAGATTTCCTGTCTGAGAGGGAAGAAATCTAAATTTTCTGATTGCTGTTTCAGAAGAATCAAATTGAGAATTTCATTTTGGATTGCCCCTTTCAAAAATGCCTTGGTCCTAGACATAAGAAAATAAATTATGATTCTATTTTCATCTCTGTCCTGAGGAACAAGAGGCCAGCTACTCCCTTCTTAATCCTATTTCCTCCTCTTTTCTTTCCCCTTTCCTTTGTTTTGTCTGCTTTTACTTTCCACCTCCTGGACCATTTAAGGCTAAACAGGCTGCTTTAAATTAATTAACTATCTCAATTATCTAATTAATTATTCTTTAGAACTATAAAAAAGTCTTAATAGACTCATTCTCATTTAACTTGCTGTTTTAAATGAAAGGCATGCTATACCAACTTAATATTAAAGCCATCGATACATAAGATACCATACATCTATGCTGAAAAATGCAGTGAATTATGTCCCTACCTTGTGATTTGCTTATCAGTTTATAGTCTTATCACATCACATATAATTAACAAATAGATTGAATCATCTTAGAGGGTTAAGGAGAATCAGGTATAAGAAAACTTTATTAAATGACACTTGCTTGCCATTTTAGTCATTGGCAGCAAGAAGGTGTAAAGAGTTTTTTCTGTCTCCTCTTGTCATGCACTGAACTGCAGCTTTCCCATAAAGTGTGACTTCAAGGACTGATTTTTTAACCTGCTTTTGCAGATTTCACATGTTTGGCCAAATCTAAACATGCATATGTAAAATGGAAGTAATGTTGGCATTTATTCTAAAAGTATATTGAGGGTGCTTTAAAGTTGTTTTGTTTTTACTTCCTTTAAGAAAGAAAAAAGAGTATGTCTTCTCAGAACGCATTGAAAACTTGCTTCAAAAAGGCCCACTTATAATTTAGGATGTTAATCCTAAAACTCAACTTCTTTCTTCCTCTTGAATACATTATTAGCCTACCATCTTGCACACACCTTTTCTTTAAAAGTTTTCCACGAGGTATAGTATGTCTGAATTTTTATCTATCTGTTTGAATCTGTAGAGAGGCAGCAAGGAAGAAAATGTTTTTCTTACAGGAAATTCAGAGAGTACTGATTGGCTGACTGGCAACTTGCAAATAGGCCATTAAAGCATTTTAGCTGGAATCTTGATTAAGGTAACTTTGTACCAGTATTTTTGAGGCATTAAATAAATACTTTGTTTTGATTCAGGTGGAAAATGAAGTTGATCACAGCATTCGGAAAGTGTATAAGACCTACAATGGAACCAATCCTGATGCTGCTAGTCGGGCTATTGATTATGTACAGAGACAGGTGAGCTCTCTTGGGGTTAATTTGTTTTTGAGGACCAGTCACTGTTGGTGAATATTAAACTAACTCTGTTGTTACTGTGAAGGAGCTCTGGTAGTTCAATGATTAAGCATTTGGCTGCTAACCAAAAGGTTGGCGGTTCAAACTCACCAACCACTCTGTGGGAGAAAGATGAGGCAGTCTGTTCCATAAAGATTTACAGCATTGCAAAAGGGAATATATACCATGACTATACATAGGTTTGGCAAATGATATTTCTACATACATATTTATATGTGCTATAAGAATGTCCATGTACATCAAGCTCAATTGGCATAACATACTATACAAAACATTGTTCCACCTCCTACTTTGGGGAGTAGCGACTGGATCTTAAAAGCTAACAACCTGCCATCTAGATGCAACAATGGGTCTCTCCTTATCCAGAGCAAAGAAGAATGAAGAAAACCAAAATTCATGGAAACAATTAGCCCTAGCGACTGGTACACCATCCAGTCGATCTGCAGCCTATACGACTATGAGACCAGAAGAACTAGATGGTGCCCGGCTACCACTGTCATCTATTTGGAGGGGGATCTATGTAGGAGATCCTTGATAGAGAGGGAGAACAATATGGAACAAAACTCAAAATCATTTGGAGAAAAAGAAAAAAAGGGGAGGGAGACCAGGTTTGCTGGTCCGATAGAGCCTGGTGGAACCACTGAGACTATGGCCCCTAATTGCCCTTAAGATCTGGAATTGAACCCACACCTGTGGTTTCCAGCCAAACAAAAGATAGGCATATGAGTTGAACATTTACTTCAAGTAGATACTCTACTTGGAGAGAACAATCATGGGAGAAAAAAGGCTGCTTATGCACAGGGAGACAGCTCAGGGGGCAGGAGTACATGGAGAGATGGACATAGGGAAGAGGTAACTATGGGGAGGAAGCGGGAGGGGAGCTGTTGCATTGTGGTAAACTGTGGTCAATGTCATGAGACAAAATATATGTGAACTGCTGTATAGAAAGTGAATTTGCTCTGTAAATCTTCACCCAAATCACAATTAAAAAAAAAAAAAGGAATGTCCATGTATATAATAGAGCTAACAGGGGACAAAGTTAAGATAACTACTTAGCCGTAGCCAAACACCTTGAAGGAGTGAGTCCCTGGGACCGTGGTCAAGGTAGACATCAAGCTCAGTTGGCATAACATACTATAGAAAAACATTCTTCTATATCCTACTTTGATGACTAGTGACTGGAACCATCCAATATGCAGGAGTTGGTTGCTTTTCCTGAGGGAAGAGAGTAAAGAATATCGAAGATGTAGGGGAACAATTAGTCCAACGGACTAGTGGACCGCAGGAACCTCAGCCTACATGATCCTGAGGCCAGAAAAACTAGATGGTGCCCAGCTGCTGGTGCCAACCACTTGGAAAGAGATCAAAATTGGAGATCCTGGATTGAGTAGGAGAAAAATGTGAAACAAAACTCAAAATCATAAAAAAGACCAGGATGATGAAACCCCTCAAGACTATGGCCCCTAGTTACTCTTTGGGCCTGGAATGGAACTCACTGCCGTGACTGCCAACCAAATAGTAGACAGGCCTGCAAAGTGAACAGTTAAACCAGGTAGGGTACACTCCTTAAAACAATCAACCATGGGACGTCAGAAGGGCAGCATTTGCACAGGAAGATGGCTTAAGGGCACAGGAATACATAGGAAAGAAGGACACAGGGAAAAGGTAACCACAAGGAGGAAGTGGGAAGAAAGCTGTTACATTGTGGAGATTGCAGTCAATGTCATGAAATAAAATGTGTATGATCTGTTGAATGGAAAACCAATTTGCTATGTAAACATTCACCCAGATCACAATAAAAATAAATAAATTCAGAAAAGACTAATAAAAAAAAGATTGACAGCCTTAGAAACCCAACAGGGCAGTTCTTCCTTATCCTGTAGGGTCACTATGAGTTGGAATCAGCTTGACAGCAGTGAGTTGGTTATTGCTATGTAAATTAGCCATGTATTTTCACAGCCTTGGCTAGCCTCCTGATGTGTCTTAATATTCCCCAAACATCACCCTTGAAAGTTTTTTTCCATCATCATCTAGTCAAACCCAGAGAAGAAGCATTAAACTTTTTTATTACCTGATACTTCCCCCCCCCAAAAAAAAAAAATAATAATTAGCCAGAGAGGTGATAATGCGATAGAGGTGTGTATCACAGAATAGTTGGGAGTCTGGATGGACTTAGAGCAGGTGAAAGGTCTACATGTACCTTCAGAAAGCAAGACCAGAAAAGGCAGTAGATAAAACTCCCCTCCCCCCCAGAAAAAGGGCATAAAGGTAGAGAAAATAATGTTATATATAATAATAGATCCATGTACCTACAACTCAGTTTCCATAGTTAGCAACCTTTTGTCAATCTTAAATCATCTATTACCTTCTCATTTTCCTCTCTTTTCTTTCTTTTTTTTTTGGCTAGTTTATCTTAAAGCAAATTCCAGACATTTCAGACACAACATTTTAAACATTTTGCCACAGGAAATGATATTTGACCCAGAGCCAGTTATTTAACATGTAACATAAAATTTTTCTTAGCTAGCAACTACCCCTTGTAGGCAATGTGGTTTTCATTTGGAAGTCTTAGAGCTGCACTGTCCAGTGTAATAGCCAATCATGGCTATTTTTAATTAAAATTAAAAATTCAGTTCCTTAGTTGTACTAACCATATTTTAAGTACATAATATTTTTATGTGGCTGGTAGCTATCATTTTGGATTACACAGATATGGAACATTTCATCATTGCAGGGAATGGATAGCACTGTTCTAGAGTGGCTTCATTTTTTCCACCTAAGGAGTTTGCCTCTCTTTTTATTTATTTTGTTATTGTTGTTATTGAGAATAATTAGAGTAGGTTTTTTTGTTTGTTTGTTTGTTTTAAAAAAAGCCTATAGTGAATAGAAGTCTGAAGTTCAACCCAGTTGTGTGCTTTATGAGAAGTAAGGAATTATCTCCATTTTCTCCTGTCTTCCTTTAGCTGCACTGTTGTGGAATTCACAACTACTCAGACTGGGAAAGCACAGACTGGTTCAAAGAAACCAAAAACCAGAGTGTCCCTCTTAGCTGCTGCAGAGAGACTGCCAGCAGCTGTAATGGCAGTCTGGCCCACCCCTCTGACCTCTACGCTGAGGTAAGTCAGGTCTCTTGGTCAAGACTTGAGTCTAGCCACATAACCTGGTTTTCTCTCTGCCTTATCTCCGCCTGGAACATCTTTTATACCCTCGCTTGCTTTTAATGCCATTTTATTTTGCTGTAAATTATTTTAGATGCATTGTCTTTAATTACATGTCTAACTTTGTTCTAATTGTGTGATCTCTTTTCTTCTCTGTCGCTGAGCAGTAATTTGCAACTGCAGCTTTCACTTTTTAAAAAGACTTCTAATTGGATGACTTTGTGTGTTTCAGGGATGTGAGGCTCTGGTTGTGAAGAAGCTGCAAGAAATTATGATGCATGTTATCTGGGCAGCACTGGCATTTGCAGCTATTCAGGTAGGCCCAGCTAGCCAAAGAGTTATCATCATAGTGAGCTGATTCTCTGGTGTCATCCTCAAATGATTTTAATCACTAAGTGCAGTGAATCTTTGTGTATGTAGATAGCTTGGAAGTGATTGAGGTACTGCCTGCCAGTTTCCAACATCTTTTGTTCAAGTGTCTAGACCTAGACCCAGAATGGTCCAAAGAAACCAGAGATCTGAAAGGGGAGGGAACACTTTGCTGGATTTTCTTGCCTTGATTAGTAAGTAGCCTATTCACAATACAAACAAACTGTTGTCACAGTGTATTCTTGGGAGGTATTTTGTAGAACTTAACAGAACTCTTAAAAAATTGTACTGCTTGAGGCGGGGCAAGATGGCGGACTAGGCAGAAGGATTGCACAGACCCTCTTCAACAAAGAAAAGGGAAACCAATTAACACAGA